AAAAAAAAAAAAAAAAAAAAAAAGGCAAACACAAACAGCTACATTTTTGCCCCAGCACCAAATTCGAATTTCCCATGCGAGGGCATTATGGAAAGATGCATGCCCAACATGAGGGCATATAGCACAGCTACCCGTGAAATGGCACCGGGGGTCTGGTAAGGGCATCCCAAAAAGTTGCACCCCTCACTGACAGGGGCCTGCAGGAAAGTTCCGAGTGCCCAGGGGCAAATCAGGGTAAGTAGGCCGTCAGAGGGGTATTTCGCAAATAAACGCAACTTTCAGGGGCATTTCGGAAAAATTCCTCCCAAAAAACACTATGGCGGTGTATCTTTGCACGCTCTTGCGGAAGATTCATTTCCATTTTGCACATTTGGTGAGTAGTGGAGCGAGGGCCAGAGAGGCTCGGGGGCTAGGTCCCACTTGCACGAATTAAGAGATACTGACCGTAATAGCAAAGATCAACGGCCGAAATCTCCTAATTTGCGCAAGTGGGACCTTGCCCCGGATGTAAACCGAGCCTGTTGCGGAAGAAGACGGTGTGAGGTGAAATTGAGAAAAGCACAAAAAAAAAGAAAAAGCAGGCAGTACGAATAAGGATGAGATGAGGCACGTAGCAGTGGCAGTGAGCAGCACCGCAATTAAAGTGACGGGATCTGCGGGCGATAAACCAGAAGATCCGCTAGCTATCTGGTACTTGATGCTGGCCCTGAATGATGATATGATCTCACCTCTGCCTTTCCTCGGCTTTTCAGTCGCTGATAGATTTCATGCCGTCTGCCTACGTCCCGCGTTTTCTTTCTCCCGCCATTTGTTTTGGAACTCTCGTGTTGTCGCTCTCGCAATCATGCGTGCTACCGCGCCCTTTCTCTCTCTCTCTCCCGCACTTTCTTCCTCTCTCTCTCTCTCTCTCTCTCTCTCTCTCTCTCTCTCTCTCTCTCTCTCTTTCTTTCTTTCTTTTCTCCCTTCGTTTCTTTTGCCCCGAACCCACGACGTATGTGCCATCGCGGCTCACCGCATGACTCACCGTGCATGAAAAACGCCGAGTGCATTGTCCCGGAGAAGGGGGCAAGATACATCCAACAGTATCAATACCGATGGATGTATATTTTTCCCTTCTATGTGAAGATGCACCCGGCATTTTTCCCTTTTGGGTGAGTAGTGCGACGACGCCCATCGTCTTGTACAAGCACGAGCCGCCATGCTAGTGGACCTCTCTCCGCCACTCGCCCAATGTGAGAAAGGCAAAAAAAAAACAAACGTGTATCTTACCGGCTTCCACGCGAAGATACACTCGCTATTTTACACATTTGGCGAGTACGGCAGCGAGGCTCAATTTCCCCTTCCCTTCTCTCTGTATCGTTCCCATCCTTCACTTCATCGCTCTTCCAAAAAAAAGAAAAAGAAAAGAAAAGAAAAGAAATCTCCCCCGTCGTCATCATCGTCGTCGTCGTCGCCGTTGCCGTTGACGATCCAGCTGACGTGGCAGCTGCCCTTTTTGCCCCCCCCTTTCCTTTTCCTTTGAATGAAACGCTTCGGGGATTTTTGTTGTTGTTATTATTATTATTATTATTATTATTATTATTATATTATTATGTGCCCCCCCTTTCCTTTTCCTTTGAATGAAACGCTTCGGGGAATTTTTTTGTTGCTGTTATTATTATTATTATTATTTTTTATTTTTTTTTGTGTGTGTGTGTGTGTTTGTGTGTGTGTGTGGGCGTTTGTGTGTGTCTGTGTGTGTGGTGTGTTCTCATGTTCGATATGCACTACTCCACATAAAAAGCGCACACACACACACACACACACACACACACAGAGAGAGAGAGAGAGAGAGAGAGAGAGAGAGAGAGAGAGAGAGAGAGAGAGAGAGAGAGAGAGATCTTGCGTCTGTATTTGTTGGGGCGGGGGAGTGGGGGCAGGAGAGTTGGGGAAGAGAGGGAGGGGGGGAGGGAGGAAGAGAGGAAGGGTGAGGTGTCGGGGGCGGGATGAGAACGAAAGCACAGGAAATGACATTCTATCTTTAGCATTTCTGTCATTTCTCGTCTCTCCGAGTCCTGCGAAGTATGCAAATGTCATTAGTTCTTTTTTTTAACGGAAATGAAAAACGCTAACTGTTCGCGGCTTCACGTTTTTTTTTTCCCCTTTTTCTTTCGGAAGCTTCACGTTTCATATTTAGCGGCAATGGAGATGAAAAAGAAAACAAGGCAAAAAAAAAGAAACGGAAAAAAGGAAAAAAAACGTCAAGTGCGGAACATGTACAATCAAGTTGAATCAACCAAAACTACTTCAATAACGAAAACAAAAAAAAAAGGTCAAGTGCGGAACATAGACTTATGGTCCAATAGATGGAGGCTCATGGAGCAGCCCAACAGCCCGAAGCCTCAATCCTAATCCTGGTGGTTCTCTTACGTGTAATCCGAATACAAGACTCGAACACACAACCAACGGCTCGGCAGGCAAACAGCTAACCATAAGGCTAAGTGGGCTGGCCGCTGGGATAGAGGCCTGCCTTGAAAGAGGGGTATAACCCAAAAAAAAAAAAAAAAAAAAAAAAAAACATAAGACTTATGGTCGTACTCTGCTCCCCAGAGAAGGAGGAAAAAGAAACTACTCTGCTCCCAGGTTCTTTTCTTTTTTTTTCTTTTGTTTTCTTTGTCTTTTTCTGTCCTCTCTTTTTTTTTTTTTTTTTTTTTTGAAAGGGGCCATACAAAAGAACGTGCTGTTGCAGGGGCCACAAGGTCTCAACTATTTTTTTTTTTTTGTAATGACTTGTTTATTATTATTATTATTATTATTATTATTATTATTATTATTATTATTATTATTATTATTATTATGCTTTCGGCCGTAAGTGTTTTACGATTGGAAATGGAAGTTCACCTGATATATACGAGGGCTCTACTACTTTTGTCACAGCTTTTTTTTTTTTTTTTTTTCTATAAAAACACCTAAAATTGATGTTCTGTTTCTTTTTAGTTATTATGATTCGTCTGTTTCTTTTTAGTTTTTATGATCCAACATCTATAAAAACACCTAAAATTGATGTTCTGTTTCTTTTTAGTTATTATGATTCGTCTGTTTCTTTTTTGGTTTTTATGATCCAACATGGCAAACACAATCTCTTTTTTTTTTTTGCAGCATTGCTTCCATGATATTAGGAGCAATTTTGAGTTAAAAAAAAAAACACACGAAAACTTCTTAAAAAAAATAAACTAAAGAACTCCAAACGAATTCGTATTAAAACAGGTCGAATCGAGGCCGGGGATCTCACAATTCAAACCGGAGACCCCAAAACATTTACTCCCGTGTACATTTTCTATTTCTTTTTTTTTTTTTTTAATTGAGAAACACAATACGTTATAAAATGAAATACCTCTCGAAGACCTAGGACCTCAAAAACACTTCCGCCCATACATGTTCTTCGGGGCTACTTCTTCCTTTCTACCGGTGGGACCGGAGGCGATGTCATAGCGCCGTGTGTTTTTTCATGGTTGTGTTGTGCGTTGAGTCAGCCCAGCTGTCTCTTGATTTCATTAAGCATTAAACTTACGCCCATGTACATTTTTCTATTTCCGCAGCGCCTATCATCACCATTTGCTCTCTCTCTCTCTCTCTCTCTCTCTCTCTCTCTCTCCCACCCACACTTTTCCTTCTACCACGGTATCGGCTTTCCCTTTCCTCGTCTCCCGTCCGTCCTTCTCTCTCTCTCTCTCTCTCTCTCTGTCTCTCTCCCAGCCACACTTTTCCTTCTACCACGGTATCGGCTTTCCCTTTCCTCGTCTCCCGTCCGCCTTTCTCTCTCTCTCTCTCTCTCTCTCTCTCTCTGTCTCTCTCTCCCACCCACACTTTTCCTTCGACCACGGTATCGGCTTTCCCTTTCCTCGTCTTCCGTCCACCGTTTTTTTTGTTTTTGTTTTTTGCACCAGTACGTGTGTGATTGAGAGTATGCCACGTGTCGTGACGATTCACTGACGAAACCAATTCCTACACAACGTCTCTGCGCTCCGCTATACTTGGTCGTCACGCACCGCTTCTGCCTTCTTTGTTTTTTTTTTCTTCTTTGTTTCTTTGTTTTTCTTGTTCTCCCTCTTTCCTCCTTCCTGCCCCTTGTTCTCTTCCTTTTCCTCCTCTTCCCTCCACCACCCCACTCCCTCCCCTGCTCTTTTCCCACTGCTTCTTTCTCCTTCCTCCCTCTTCCCTCCTTCATTTTGTTTCTCTCCCTTTTCTCCTCAAGCCCCCGTCCTGAGGCTTACAAGTCTTCCCTCTCTATTCGTTTTTTTTTTTTTTTTTTTTTTTTTTCTTATCTCATTCTCCTTCCTATTGCCTTCCATCTTGCCTGTCTATCCTCCATCTGGAACCAAAGTTGGAAATGGTTCCTTCCCCCCTCGTCAGCTCCTGGGAAAATGGGCCCTTGGTCCTGTTCCCTCCGTCTGGGCCCTGGTTCCTTCCCCCCCCTTCCCATCTGGGCCCTGCTTCCTTCCCACCCCATCGTAGCCCTTCCAATCCCACCGTCCCCCTTTCGGAGGGTACTCCGTTTACCCCCACTTTACCCTCCGCTTACCTTACATATTCCGTTGGCATCCGTTTACCTTCCATATTCCGGTACCCTCCGTTTCCCTTACATATTCCGTTACCCTCCGTTTCCATCAGTTGTTGTTTTCTGCTTTTTTTTTTTTTTCAACTTACGTATTTGTTTCCCCTCCGTTTGCCCTCCGTTTATTCTCCGTCTGCTTTGTGGACTTGTATCCTCCACGAACTGACGTCAACTTCTTTTTTTTTTTTTTTTTTTTTTTTTTTTTTTTGTGGCCCGATGGACCACGGATCAGATATTAAACTGATCAGAACAGATACTACATTTGATCTTCCTTAGCCAAAAGGCCGAGAAAGGTATATAACTTTTTTTTTTTTTTTGTGTGTGTGTGTCTTGCACCCAAAACACGTGCCCCATCTATTTTGGGGGACGTCATCATTCCGGTAGCTTATCACGGGCAAGCATATGTTCAAGAAGAAATCAAGCTTAGAAACAGAGTAGGATGACGTCAACTTTTTTCACGTAGTATGAACGGGGTACTTATGTGAGGATTGAGCCCTCAAGTAGGGGCCTTGCCATGATGTACATGTTCTGGGCTAAGGCCCCAGCAAGCCTAGTGCCCACCCTAAGTGAAGGCTGGCCAGCAAATAGACAAGAGCCCTCTGTGCAACATTTCACGAAGTGGGGTTCATACAGTTGCAGCACGTCAGTTGGTTGGAGTGCACCGAGTCTTGGATTTCAGCAAATGCTGAAAGCCCAGGGCCTCTGAGTTGGTTAGGCCCTGGGCATCTGAACGTGAGGCCGACAATGCATGCTGG